CCGGGTCCCCCCAACCTCCCCACTCTTTCCGTCGCGTTGGTCTAAGTCCTCGAGGCGGAGAGAAAGGAACCAGAGTGAAGGACGGCTACCTGTGGCGCTGCCAGGTGGCCTCGGTCACGTGGGTTCGTGACGTAAGGGGTAAAAGAATCTTGAGGTCATGGGGCTTCCCCTGACCTGGATTCTATCTCTCCGTCACCGGCAGAATCGCTGATTAATGCCTACAGTTCAAAATAGTCATTTTGACTGACCGGAGTCTATGGTGGGTATGAACTATGTGAATAGGCGGGTTCGGAAAACCCTCGCCTAAATTTGTATCATACTGTAAAGGGTTTAATTGTTAGCTGGGTTTTGCATGTGCTACATTCAAACGGTTCCTTCACAAATCAGTGTATTTAAATTCCCTGCAACATCAGATTCACATTTAACCCAGTAAATACTACACTTTTACAACATTTTCTTCACTAAAACAATTACCTCTATAACACTTAAACTATATGAAAGAAAATGTCGCCTTTATGTTAATGTTAGAACACGCTGATAATAATAAACTCTGATTTGTTTTATTAGTTCCTGTTCGAACACAGTCCAAAAACGGGGACTTATGTTTTGACCTCTGTGTGTCCGTGTGTGCGTCGTTCATTCAGACCTGTATCTTAGAAATGTCTGGACCAATCACGATCAATCTTCACACATACATCATACATGATATTATACATATGCACATCAATTTGTTTCATGATCTGATTCAAGATGGCCGAATGGCAGCCATTTTTGTGCTAAAAAATCATAAAAATCAAGCATTTCTCGGCTGTTTAATGGTGGATTTTGTTCAAACTTGATATATACATTAGACATTATGGGACCTTGATGCAAATAATTTTGTTTTTCAGATAACATTCAAAATGGCCGACTGGTGGCCATTTTGTTTTATTAATGGGCTTCTGGGCCCATACCACCGGCTTATTTTGACTGATTATGTTCAAATTTTAAATATTCATTATACATCATATCATAGATAGACAGATATATTAGTTTGAGGATCCTATTCAAAATGACCAAATGGTTGTCATTTTTGTGCTAAAAAATAATCAAATATCAAGCATTTCTGACATTTATGAATGGATTTTGTTCAAACTTGGTACATACTTTAGACATTACAGGTTCCTGATGCACGTCATTTTATTTTTCAGATCAGATTCAAAATGGCTGTCTGGCGGCCATTTTGTTTTAATGAATGGGTTTCCAGACCCCTATGTCTGACTTGTTTTGACTGATTTTGTTCAAATTTTTAATATTCATTATACATCATTCACAGATATATGGATATATTGGTTTGACGATCCTTTTCAAAGTGGCCTAATGGTGGCTATTTTTGTGCTAAAAAAAGCCATGAATATCAAGCATTTCTTGCATTTATGGATGGATTTTGTTCAAACTTATAACACTACATTAGACATTACTGGTCCCTGATGCACGTATTTTATTTTTCAGATTGGATTCAAAATGGCTGACTGGCAGTCATTTTGTTTCAATGATTGGGCTTCTAGAGCCATATCTCTTAAATGCTTTGACTGATTATATTCAAATTTTATATATTCGTTATACATCATGTTGTATATATATACATGTATTCAAAATGGCTGATTTTTAATGCTGTTCCAGAGCAATATCATTAATATGGACAAGTACTTGTTTGACGATCAGATACAAATGTCAATCATTTTAATGTTAAAAAAAATCATATTCCTGACATGGTTATATTTCAGCTATATTACTATAAAAACAAAACTATCTATCTTAAATTTGATAACTAACGGGGACTGTGCCATGGCTTGTTGTTTATTACTCAGCTACAAGGTCCATGTGTGCTTCAGATTCAGAAGATAAGAAATGTGTCTGCGCCAAAGTCAAATGAAGAATCCAAAACAGCTCCCAGAGTGTTAAAAATACAGCTGACTGATGGTCATATCAACTGCCAAGCCATTGAATTGAAACACATTGATAGAATCAGGTAAATATAGTTACTAAGCAAAATATTAGCTATGCTAGGAACTAGTCTTTTCACGAGTCTACATCACAGCAACACTTATTATAGATGGCAACTATACTGAAATGGTATATTCATTGTCACTATTTTCCATTAGGAAATGAACAAAAACAGGAATAGGCCCAATACAAAATGATTATGCAAATCATAAATCACATGGATTAATTAATGTTCACAAGTTGTGATCACTACTGAGTGAATGAAATATAGTCTGTGATCAAAAACATCTAAGGCAATTAATCCTTGTGGAGCAGATATTCTTTCCATCATTA